CGCTGTGCCACTGGGGGGCTTTTATTAAGAGTATTGGTTATAGCGTTTAATGTATATATATTTTTTACACTTACAAAAATTATTTTAAACTAATCAAATCTCCTAAGCCTTCCGAAAATCGTCAAAATGAGACATTACTTACGAAGTTAACTTTTAGTTCTGATCTATGTGGTTAAATGACTTTGATCAGAAGTTGTTGATAATTGCATCGCACTAAGTTAGTAAATCATTGTTTTATGAAAAAGCAAATAAAGCTAAATCTTTTTTACTTGAAATATAAAACAGAGATTTAGAGCCGGAAAAGAATCAATATCTACTGATAAGTACTGCTAACATTAGAGTGCTGATTGGCTGTTTAGCTCTGTCCACTGTCATTTCTTTGCATCTGCAATGCAGTTGGACACTTTATTAATCGCTGCTAGTAACTGTTCAATTATAGTACTGTTAGGTCAGGCGACGTTGGCTGACTTCGATAAAAGTCATTTAAACTAAACTGAATACGCCATTTGTAGCGTCGAATTTGTTTTACAGATACTTTTCATATAAAGATTTTAGTAGCATTAAAAATTTACGTAATTAAACATTTCTTCAGCATTGAACTTTAACTTCTACAAAAAAAAGTGTATGAATACTTCCGTAGAGTAAGGTTAGTTTGACTTCTATAAAAGTTAGGCTTGTACAAACAATTGTGTGAATGTTCCCATAGAGTAGGGTTAGTTTGATTTCTATGAAAGTTAGGCTTGTATAAACAATTGTGTGAATGTTCCTATAGAGTAGGGTTAGTTTGATTTCTATGAAAGTTAGGCTTGTACAAACAATTGTGTAAATATTCCCATAGAGTAGGGTTAGTTTGATTTCTATGAAAGTTAGACTTGTACAAACAATTGTGTGAATGTTCCCGTAGAGTAAGGTTAGTTTGGTTTCTATAAAAGTTAGGCTTTAGTAAGTACAAATAGTTCTGTAGCTTTCACTTCAAATGAAATGTGTGTACATGTGTAAGGAATTGTTTGTCTGTTTCATATTGCGCAAAGCTACACACAAGGGGTATCTGCGCATAGCCGCCTCTATTTTGAACTGATAGACTCGAGAGAAGGCAATCAGCTAGCCAACATCTCTGGCTGAATAGTGTGATTTAACCATTACGCTCATAGCGCATCCACGACCCCAAAGGGTGGGGGTGCATTTCCTCTACAGCAGGTCGCAAACCTTAACCCTTGGATTCACAATCTGGGGATGCGGTCATGCCCCGCCTACTCTATATGTAAGGAACCCAAAAATAATGTATTTATTATTAAGCCTATACAACTGCACTGTCAAACTCAGCGGTATAATAAGTTTCTTTGATCAAGATCAATTTTGAAACCTTAATCGTCGTATCAATATCGCAAATCTATATTGGGAAAAACAGCAATGAATAAAATATTTTAGAACGCGGCGCTTATATTATTTCTTACAAAAATCGTTTAGTGACTAAATAAAAGGGTAAAAATGCACCTGTTTAACGTTTTCAGTAAACTTTAATAGTCCCAAGACGATGAATAAACCGGTTTTACACAGGTTTGTGTCTAAGGGCGGTCCCCGACAAGGATTTAGTAGCCCGAGCGAAGTTCCAATGTAAATAGCCCTAGCGTCAATCAACATCTGTTCTGTTCTCGCACGTTGCTGTGATGTCGTGGAAGTTTCAATTAGAACGTCTTTAACACCCACTCTCACGCTTACTAATGACAGGCTTTATTTAATACTGGAGCAACACTTAATATTTTATATTATTATCTCTCTTAGCTTCAAGTAGGAAAGTTAAAATTCAGTACGGGTTTAGTAATATACGTCTGTATCAGAAAATAATACGTACATAGAATACAGCTATATCCTGCTTGGTTTTGTTTGTTTTGTTTTGTTTTCTAAAATGGGTGAAATAATTTTTTCTCAAGTCATTAAATATATTAACAAAAATGTTTGTTGTTACAACTGTTAGGAGTTCTTTAATCAAATTACCATACAGGGGTTCTGGTTCACTTAAGGGTAATGTATCACACGAGTTAGTATCAGTTCTACAGCGTTGTTTCAGGCGTTTAAAAAAAGACGATCTAAAACATGGCTTCTGAAGCAAAGCAAGATGACAAAGATGACTTAAGGGTAATGTATCACACGTGTTTGTATCAGTTCTACAGCGTTGTTTCAGGCGTTTAAAAAAATACGATCTAAAACATGGCTTCTGAAGCAAAGCAAGATGACAAATTACCATTATAGAAGAGTATCTGAATGAAGAAAAATATTTTAGTCCGAGTAAAAGTTTTTTACGATCTGTTCTGAAAGATCTGTACCTCCACTAGTCTTAGTCTAGTAAGCAGATCTTTACTAAAGTGAGGTGGGAAGTAGTTTTTCTCCTACTCACCAGAGGGTTTTGAAGCACGTTAGCAGTGAAAAGAACACTCTTCTGGTTACTTTGTAGCATTAAATATTAACGTTGTACATAGTACTACAGCCTCAGAAAACTAGTGAGGCAGAGAAAGGCAGACAGCTGAATACTTCTATAACATTAAAAAAATAATATTATACGTATGTATATATATATATCAAAAATTAGTTGAGCCAATTATGTGTGTGTGTGTATATATATATGTGAAAATTTAGTTGGGCTAATTATATGTGTATATATATATATATGAAAATTTAGTTGAGCCAATTATGTGTGTGTGTGTATATATATATATATGTGAAACTTTTGTTGGGCTAATTATATGTGTATATATATATATGAAAATTTAGTTGGGCTAATTATATATATATATATCAAAACTTAGTTGAGCCAATTATATGTGTGTGTGTGTGTATATATATATATATATGAAAACTTAGATATATATACTTTGTTGACCTATTTATATATATATATATCAAAACTTAGTTGAGCTAATTATATGTTTATATATATATTTGAGCACGAGAGTTTCAAACTCAACAAAGCTAGTCTTTACCAACACTTAATATAACATGAGAGGTTTCAAATTATCAAACGAATATCTAAATACTTGCAGGTAACGAGTTTTATTTCGATGTTTGAGGTATAACTACTTTGTCTGAAGTTTGTAAACACTTACACTTGTAATTCTTATAGCAGAAAGCTTCAGCATCTCAGCTTTATGATGTTACTACTTCTTATCTGAAAAAAAATCCACCTTTCAAAACAATCATTCAAAATGTTCCTCCAAGAATCTTAGTGTAGCAGTTTTACTGTTTTAATTATACGACTAATATATTTATAGATCAACACTTATTTGATCACGTGAGTTTAAATCGTCAACAAGTCTACTCCAACACTTTACGAGTGTCTGAACTCACCCAAATGTGTCTATCCTACCTCGTTGTCTTATATCGCCCCTGGTTTATCATATATAAATCAAGTCAAATAGACTATCAGTGCTTAAAGATTATGTATTCCACACTTGAAATGTACGTTAAGTTGACATTTCCTAAGTCTGAGGTGTAAATTAAAATGTCCATTTAAAACTTTATCTTCAGAAATTATGTCATCGTCTGTAATCGATTGATTTGAGTTCACATTAAACATCTTATAATTAGTATGTTTTTATTAGTGCGTTTATTATCAACAACAACAACAACAAAAAAAAGAGTAAGATAAAAACTGCATGATTCTGATATGTTAAATAGCATCATAACGTGCATGGTTAATTAGCTCGTGCTAGCAGCTTTACGCTTATTTTCAAAAGAAACAAGGCATAACCATACTAAATGACTGTTGGTGGGGGCTAAAAAGAAATTTTGATAAAATATTTGTTATATTTTAGATCATTTAGAGGCATTAGCGCTTTTCGCATTTCACATCTGACCATTAAATCATGCTAATAAAAGTGTGGCAAACACAAAATGTGATTACAATTAATAATCTTACCGTCTCCAAATCTTATATTTTCCTTCCGATTTTTCAAAAATTATTCAATAATACCCCACTACTGAATTAAGTAAAAGGAGGATATGAGATTTATATTTCCAATTGACAATCTTATTTGGTGTCAAATTTTACAACTTTGTATGACTAAAACACGTTAACTGAGGCACACAGCTTATACAATTAAAAAATATCATAAAAACTGCATTGATCATGCTCGTGATGATATCTAATTAGTTATTTTTAAATTGATTTACCCAAAAGTGGAAATATCTTAAGTCGACGTTCCATTTCTTGATTTATTCTGTCTGGCGTGGCCCCCCCCCCAGTGGAACAGCGGTATGTCTACGGACTTACAACGCTAGAAACAGGGTTTCGATACCCATGTTGGACAGAGCCCAGATAACCGTGTAGCTTTGTGCTTAACTTCAGAACAAACCTGTCTGGCGTGTTTTCAATGAGTACTGATTTGGTACAGAAGGCTCAGCTTTTTATTTTATTTTATGTATATCATTTAAAATTATTTATTAAACCTTTTATTTCGTTAAGTTAATAAATATACAATATCTATCACGGATCATATAGCGGTTTTGTAATACGAATTAACGAAATTCCTATTTTGTTTTCACTAACTGAAACTTTTGGTTAACATAACGATCTAAACTATTTTTTTAAATAACGTATACAAAATACTACTTACAATCATCGTTAAGTTACTTCAAAGAAATGTGCCATTTAATCGGGAAGAATTTGACGTTTTTTTTATTTTTGTTTTAAAGTCTGTCCTCTTGGTACCTATAAAACTTCAGTTGGAGACGGCCGTTGTGTTACCTGTCCTCTGCATAGTGCTGCCCTCTACAAAGGTTCCATCGAATGTACATGTAATGATGGGTATTACCGAGCTACAACAGACGCGAAAGATGTACCATGTTCTCGTAAGTAAACGCATTATATCATATGATTTATATCTGTTTTAGTTAGAGCAGAAAAGGCTAGAGATAACACAGATATGTTTAAGTAGTCAATCTGATAATAACAAACGTGTCATGATTGGATAATGAGTGTTAGTATTTTTATAGTTTTCGTAAGCCAGAAGTAGATAATTTTTCCATATTTTTAACTTTTGATAACAATTACAAATTGACTTTGTATTGTTTAGCAGTTTTGATATTATAAGCGTTTTGTTTTTCGCTTTTATTAGTATTATAGTACTACTTTAGTTGTATGAAAACTTTAGTAAAGTAAACCTTGTATTCATTTTTTTAAATTATATTTCTACTATTAGTATTACGTAATTTTATCAAACTTAGTGTTAGGTTATCGATTATAGAATTACAGTTTTTAAGATCATGTTACGTCAATACTTCCCTAATATCAATAAACAGGTCGTGGTGAAATGTGGAAAATTTAATTATTTACATTTCAACGTAACATGAATCCTTTATCTTATCCAGAACCCCCATCAGTTCCACAGAATCTGTCTGTAAACTTTGTTGACCAGTCAACAGTCATCCTGGGTTGGCAGCCTCCTAGAACATCTGGAGGTAGGACTGACACTACCTATAAGGTGGTGTGTGAATCATGTGGTAATGCTGTAAACTATGTACCCTCCGAAAGGGGTTTCAATGAAACCAAAGTCACCATATCTGGCCTCAACCCTGCCACAACCTATCGGTTTCAAGTATATGCAGAGAATGGAGTTTCTAGCTTTAGAAAAGGCCAGTTTGTGGAGAAAACAGTAACAACAGCTGCTTCAAGTAAGACAGATAGTGTCCATGCACATTTTATGTATATTGTTTAATATTTGTGCTTCTCACATGATTGTTTACTTTCATGTTCCAAATTGTTGTAGCTTCTGGAAGTAGAAGAATTCTTAAATGTTATATTTTTTTATATCTAACATGACAGCTGTTGTCCACCCTTTAACTTCTGTTCTGACCAACAAGTTGTTAATTTATTAATTTAGTACTTTAAACAGCAACAGCCAGTTTTGTGTAACAAAACAGTGTAGTGGTACAATATACAACATTAAGCAGTTAAAGCTAGTTTTGTTTAACAAAACAGTGTATTAATACAATATACAACATTAAGCATCTACATAACATTAACTACATCTGGTTTTGTTAATATGATAACTATTAATAGAATATACATTTACAACAAGTTTTTTTAGCACAATAGCATTTTTAAATAGTATGTGCCTCACTCAACAACTTTCTCTTACTATGTTGTTCTTAAATGATTTGTTTTACATGTTGTTTAATCTGTTAAAATACATCAAGCATTGTAGATATATTTATAACATCATGATAGATAACTGCCAAGGCACAATTAACAAAACAATTTTACAGGACTGTACAGCAGGTTCTAATCAAATATGTGTTAGTTCTCCTTTGTCATGAAACTTTTTAAAGCAATGCAGAGAAAACTTGTGAAGTGATGATGATCAAATTTCTCTAGCATGGTGCTAATGTTAGTACCCAAATGTAATTTGAATTATGAATATTTGACAAAGGCAGTATTCAGTAAGGGATGAGGAGCAGAGTAGAATATACATTATTTAAATATATTGTAGTCTAAATCTGCTTTTTTTTTTAAATAATATTTTTATAAATACTTATTTTCTATGGTTGTTTTAGATGCAATAACTTGTGATAATTTGTTGTCTTAAGATATCTACTGCATGCAGTAATTTGTGACAACGTTCGTCGCTGAGATGATTGTTATCAACTTTGATCAAAGCAAGCTTTCGACATAGATCAGAATTATAATAATTCGTTAATGAATATAATTAATTTTAATATATTTTTTACTTAGATGCAACAGTATTTACTTTAGAGGTGCATTAGATGGAGTGTCCTGTGATAATCTGCAGTTTGCATATGTTAGATGTTGACATGCAGACTTTGAGTTTTCTAAATGTTTTATATGTGTCTTGGCACCTCCACAGAAATAATGTTCTTTTCCAAGATATTAATTCATGTTTTTCTTCCTTACACAGCTTACCACATCTCTATGAAAGTATCCTTTATGGTCAACAATGTCAGAGTTTTGACTGTCAAGAGTACAGTTATTGTTCTCGCCTGGGACCCTCCAGAGGATCCATACATTCAAACTCAGTTATACGAAGTCCGCTACTTTCGACGTGGAGAGGAGAGTAACTCGTCTAGTATGTTAACCAAAAAACCAGAATCACCAGTATCTGGGTTGACTCCCAAGACTGAGTATGGGTTTCAGGTGCGTGGTGTCAGTTTCATCTTTAATTTCTGTATTTGTTCGAAGTAAAAACATTAATTAATGTGTTGTTTTTTCTTTGTTGAGCTAACAGTTAATGACAAGTTAATGTTTAGGCCCAATTTCAGTTGGTTTCATCACGCAGATGAAACATCACCCTCTCTTTCTTCTCTCCAGCAGAATCTTGGACAGGATATGTTTAGGTGATGTAGTCCTAACATTGTTCAAAATTTCCTTGAATTTGAAAAACAGAAAGTGATACTTAGGTTTTTGTTTTGCTAATATAGAAAAATATTGTACAAAAAATATGTATTTTTGGAGTTTTCTACGTAGTATCTTTTAAGAATGCTTTCTACAATCAATCATGTATTTTTAGATAAGT